TGCCCTCTTAAAAGTTTGCAATGACATCCAAACTGCCATGGAACAAAGAGACCTTACTAGAGCTATTTTCCTTGATTTTGCAAAGGCCTTTGACCATGAAATTCTACTGCTCAAACTCAAAAACTATTGTTGATTGTCCGCTAACCTGGTTTCGATTGTATGTATCGGATCGCTCGCAATATGTGTCCTTTTCTGACAGTGACTTCCTCCCTCTCCCAGTCTTGTGTGGTTCCATTCGCGGCACTCTACTATTTACATTATTTATAAATGATCTGCCTAATGTCTGCAAATCTTCAAATGTACACATGTACGCAAACGACACAGTAATCTATGCAAGCAAATCCGATCTACCGCAGCTTGAGGTTGTGCTCCAAGACCAGTTTACAGAGGTAGAAAAGTGGATCACAAAAAACAAACTCTTCCTAAACACTTACAAAATTGTCACAATGATCTTTGGAACAGTACCTAAATTACACAAATTACTTAATTCCCACATATCCATCAAAACTAATTCAAATAGCACAGTGACCGCAGTCCACTCTTTCAAATACTTGGGTATGTTGTTAGACCCCAATCTATCTTTTGGCCTCCACATAGAAAAACTTGCATCTAAACTTTATCCAAAACTAGGTGCCCTGTACAGAAAAAAATCCTGCCTAAGCCCTACAGGAAAGGAAAAGATTGTGCCGCAAATGCTGATGCCAATCATTGATTATGGAGATGTAGTATATGCACCTGCACCGCAATCCCACCTTAATAAACTCAATACATTGTATAACTCATTCTGCTGATTTGTGCTACAATGTAATTACAGGACCCACCATTGTGACATGCTAAAAGAACTAAACTGGCTGTTGCTGGAATTCAGACATACCCTTCATCTTTCCAGCAGAATGCTGTTCCCACCTCCTATAACATCCGATCCAATACTAGCACTTTATTTAGTCTACCTCAATACAAAAAGAAAGCGGCCCGATCCTCCTTCTCCTACAGAGCACCGCAATTGTGGAACAACCTCCTGCACACTTTAACCCCTTAAGGACTGGACTGTTTTTGCGATGTTGTACATTTGCGACCAGGCATATTTTTACACTTTTGTGGTGTTTGTGTTTGGCTGTAATTTTCCGCTTTCTCATTTACTGTTCCCATACAAATTATATATTGTTTTTTTCAGGACAAAAGGGGCTTTCTTTACATACCATTATTTATATAATCGCATGTATTTTAATTTAAAAAAAATACAAAAATATGATGAAAAATTGAAAAAAATACATGTTTTTTGACTTTTACTTGAAAAATCTTTTACTCATCTACAAAAGCGAATGAGAAAAACTGCTAAATAGATTCAAAATTTTGTCCTGAGTTTAAAAAATACCCAGTGTTTACGTGCTTTTTTGCTTTTTTTTGCATGTTATAGGGCTATAGGTACAAGTAGGATATTGCCGTTTCAAAACATACATTTTTAAAATTTATCAATAGTGACATTGTAACACTATTATCTGTCATAAATCTCTGAATAACACCCCACATGTACATATTTTTTAAGTAGACAACCCAGGGTATTCAATATGGGGTATGTCCAGTCTTTTTTAGTAGCCACTTAGTCGAAAACACTGGCCAAAGTAAGCATTCATATTTGTTTGTGTGTGAAAAAAGTAAAAAAACTAAATTGAACGCTAATTTTGGCCAGTGTTTGTGACCAAGTGGTTACTAAAAAAGACTGGACATACCCCATTTGCAATACCTTGGGTTGTCTTCTTTTGCAAATGGTATGCCATCATGGGGGTAATTCTCATTCCTGGGCTACCATACGCTCTCAAAGGCAACGTAACCAACCTGGCCATTTTCAATGTAAAAATATTTGACCCATATATTTGACCTTGTAACTTTCAAAAATGCTATAAAAACCTGTACATGGGGGGTACTGTTTTACTCGGGAGACATAGCTGAACACAAATATTAGTGTTTAAAAACTGGAAAACGTATCACAACAATTATATCATCAGTAAAAGTGCTGTTTGTGTGTGAAAAATGCAAAAAAAGTAACTTTCACTGACAATATCATCGCTGTGATATGTTTTACTGTTTTGAATCACTAATATTTGTGTTCAGCGAAGTCTCCCGAGTAAAACAGTACCCCCCATGTACAGGTTTTAGGGTGTCGTAGAACGTTACAGGGTAAAATACAGTGCTAGCAAATTAAATTCTCTGGAATTTCGGCCTGGGTTGGCAGGCAGGTCCCTCAAATTGCAATCAATAAAATTACTGAATTATGTAAAAATATTACATAAATACGCACGTAGAATTTAAATATATATGCATATTTATATATTTGAAGTCTACGTGTATATTTATATAATTATTTATGTAATTTTGTATATGGACATATGTATATTTCGTATTATTTTTATTTATTTTTATATACATAGATATATATACAAATTCATTCTAAGTGTATTTTGATATAATATATATATATATATTAATTTTAAAATACAGTTAGAATAAAATTTCATATAGCTATATAATTTTTTTTAAATTTTTTATTATTATTTTAAAATTTTTTTATTTAATTTAAATTACTTATTATTTATATTTTATAATAATATATATACAATATATATAGTTATTATATATATTATATATATACGTGTGTAATTTAATTATAAGTGTATTTTTATTTTAATATAAGTACATATTAATATAAAAATACACTTAGTATGGTATTATATATATGATATATAGACATATATTATATAGATATAATATATGTCTATATATCATATATACACATATATAATTATTATTATTTTTTTAATTAACACTAACTTTATTTTTTTTTTTTGATTTTACACTAGCAGGGAGACTGCCTGTCAGCACAGGCAGTCCCCCTGCAGGCAGACACTATGACACCTATTGTGACCATGTGATCGCTCTGTTGAGCGATCACATGGCCACAGGGGTCCTAATTCAGTGTGGGGAGACTGTCTGGGCTGCAGGCAGTCTCCCCACAACCGGAGCCACGCTGATCGCTGCCGGGGGAACGACGGCGATCAGGTAAGTAACGGAAACCGTTAGGACGGTTCAGGACCGTCATCGGTCCGCAATGGGAAAATCCCGATGACGGTCCTGAACCGTCCTGGGTCGGGAAGGGGTTAAAATCTTCCCCAAGCCTAAAGTACTTTAAGAGATCCCTCTCTAAACACCTCAAAACAGAATGCATGTGTTATGGTTGATTATATATTCCTACCTGTTCTATGTTAAAATTTGCATATTGTACCCTAATGTATCAATGCAATGTTTTGTGGACCCAGGACATACTTGAAAATGAGAGAAATCTCAATGTATCTTTCCTGGTAAAATATTTTATAAATAAATAAATAAATGTGTGGCAGTATTATCAGTTTAGTTTTGATTTTCCCTGCCCATGATAAGGGTACTGTTTTCCATTTATTAAGCTAGGTTCTACACTTACAGAGAAGTGGTGTATGGTTGTGTTTGAAAAGATTAATCGTGATCTTAGTAAGATTTATTCCCAGGTAAGTGATGTAGGAAGCCTGCCATTCCAGTTGGAAGGTGAATTTTAAATGTCAAGGGCAGGTTAACAGGCATCGTCTGAGACTTTTTATTTTATATTCTATTTTTTATTGAGGTTCATTGTATAGTACAAAATAATGCAAATGTATGGCAAAAACATGAGCATGGGGTACAAGACAGTGTAATACATGGAATATGATACACCTCATTTATAGGTGATGACACAAGATAAAGGAACAATACACTTGTTAGGGTAGTCACTGGAGTGGAAAGATGCATAAAACAAGTTAGGTCTGGTGTTCAGTTTAGGCTCGTACCGGTGTGTGAACTATTTATAGGGGTATCAGTCTATTGCAGTAGCTGACAAGCTTGCTTCAGAGCCCCATTACCCTGGGGGGAGTGGGGAGGTTGTTTTATAGGTGGTCGTAGCCATCATGGCTTGCTTAGGAGGGAGACTTTACTGATATATTGAGGTCATGCATTGAGGAGAACAGAGATAAGAACATAACAAAACAATAATAAACAATAATAAACCTAAAGTGTAGTGCTCAGGGTATCAGATTGCAACATTGGACACTGCAGAGGTACTTTAACGTCCCGGGTTAACCCTATCAGGGTCTCTTCACCCATTGCCTGGTGCATTCCTGGGTGTGAATGGCACCACATTATCTATGTCCCATTGTGAGGAAGACATAAGAGCAGTTTCTGGAGCTGATTGGTCGGGTAGACCGAGGGCTTGAAAAAAGCCAGGTGTTCCGGTGTTGTCCTCCAGTCTGTGTTTCCTTGCCATTTCGGTAGGTGCACAGCATGCGTGGTATGCCCCATCTGTAGCGAATCCCTACTGTCTGTAGTCATTGGGTAATGGGACATAGTGATGCTCTCCATGTGAGAGTGGCTCTGCTGAGGTCTTCATAGAAGGATAGAGTGAAACTTTCAAAGTTCAGTGGTTGTCTGTCTCAGACGGCAGATATCATGGCCCGTTTGTCAGCAAGGGATCGGAAGGTCACAATCACGTCCCGTAGAGGAGTTGTCATGAGTCTGCGGGTACGGCCCACTCGGTATATCCCCTCAATGGGCATCGATTTCACCTGCTTGGTTGGTAGTAGTGAGGAGAGTAGGCGTCGGACATACTGAGGCACTTCTTCAATGCCTATGTCGCTGCTCACCCCCCTGATCTTCAGGTAGCGTCGGCGCTGTGTATCTTCTAGGCCTGTTACCGTCGGTTGCTGTGTGAGCTGCTGGGCGAGTAGGGCAGCACCGAGGTGAGTCTGGTGGGCTGTCGCTGCTTCATCTTTGATTGACTTTATGCCGCCGGAGAGGGTATGCATATCCTCCTGGATCAGTGCGCAGTCTGCTTGGAACATGGTACATCTCCTGCAGGAGATGTTTAAGGTCGCCCTTGGTAGTTGGGGCGCTATCTGCGTCCACCTCTGTAGATCTTCTCTCCTTCTTAGCCGCGGAGGCCCTGGCTTCTGGGATGGGGTCTGGAGCATCAACTGGAGCATCAACTCACCCAAGGAGCAAGAAGGTGATCTTTGCAGCGGCCTCACTCCATTCTTGCCGGGACTTGAGGGTCTTTTTCCCCATGCTGGCCGGAGGTGGGAGGTATCGACCAGGCTCCATTATAGGCGGGAGTTTGGCAATGCTTTGAGGGATCTCCTCCAAAGTGAAGGGGGTGATCATGCCAGCTGATCCTCTGTGGACAGTCTAGGGAGTTTCTAGGGAGTTTTATATTGTCCAGGAAGGAGTCTATATTATGCGGTGTAGGATCAGAGTGTGTTGTTCTGAGTCAGGGTTATGTAGGAAACTGTTGTAAGAGGCGAATTCTGGAGTTGGCAAGTCTTTCCTTTAGTCTGGTCGCTAACAGTGCTCCATGTTACGCTACTTGGGTTATTTGGATTGAAACTCATCTGCAGCTTGTAGAACTCCTTAATTACTATAGTGAAGAAGCGGAGAATCTTTAAAGTATCAATACTGTAGCTTTAATAAAGGAGAGGATTGCTGGAACTTTGAGAATCAAATGAAATTTTAATAAATGTTAAACTTAATGAATTGCATTTAGGCAATAATCCAATAAGAATAAGTGAAAGTCATTAAACAATACAAAGTTCATCAATAAGTATTTCCTCAGAGATATATTAAATAAGATTCATTAGGTTGCTAGGAATAATCTTCAATAATGATATTTAGCAGGTAGCAAAGTATTTGCAAAGCAAGAAACAGTTCCTAGTGATTAAGCTTGATGGGAGTTGTCCTCCATATAATTAGTAGCTTGAAGCAGTGAAGTTTTAAGCAAGCAATAAATAGTTCATCAATAAATGAGATAGCAAAGAATAGCTGAAAGGTATACTTAAGGTTAAGGTTGTTATGGGCAAATGCAAATAATACAAGTTTTAGAATGAAATTGTATTTCTTAAACTGTGTACTTTGTCTTTAAGAGATATTGCAAACTGACAAGGTGTTAGAAATGGAACATATTGTTTTTCATAACTGTTTCTTTAAGCAATAACCTCAGTGCATAATATGTTTGCACCATTTTGTCCCAGACGAATTACAATAACAATAATGCATAAACAAGCTTCAAGGCTATACTACGACACTTGCAGTACACAATATACTGTGGTAACCCCAAGTTAATGGAACTTCCCCAAATCCGGGAATCTCCCACGACTGTACACTTACGACTTAGTATAAACAACAGATAACCTATTCAGACTTTAAGATGCCATCTTGAACTAAGTCAGGAAAATTTCCATGACGTTTGCACCCTTTAGTTATGGCCTTGTATGTTTGCCAAGTTAAGGGAGGTCCTAAATTGAATAAAGTAAAAGAAGTGATACTTTTTCATATTTGAACTATGGTAACCTAAAATGGAGACACCTAAGGTATAAATAGGTGTTCTTTTAAATGTTAAGACACAGAGGAGAGACTTGGAGACAGACGCTGCTCCATCTTAAAATGACAGAGAGGCTGACATGATGACATGTTCAGAAGGGTATGTTAACCTATTAATGATATTTGCAAGCATGTAATTTAATCTTATAAACTCTGCTATAATGGATTTTATATTTTTATATAATAAATATCCAAAAGACAAAACGATTGCTTCCAAGACAATCCTTATTTTATATTGTATTCTCAATTATTTATATATGTTAAATAGAGGATCTCTTACACTATATAAAATTATGGCTAAGATATCTGTATGGTTAGCCCTACTAAGTTCTATGCTTTAAGACATTATAGTGGTAAATAAGGGAACCACCAGCGGTTACAAGGTGAGTTATCCTCCAAGAGTTCAAAGTTATAGTCCACTTGATAATTAACAAGTATCAGTTCTCCAGTAATCCTCCATGGCATGCAGTATCATCCATGCATTAGCTCAAAGGCTAGGACGGCTTGTCAAAGTCTATGGAGCCGGCATGTATACCAGGAAGTCGGTCTCACATTATCAGAGCCTCGGGAGCCGGCGAGTATCGCGGAAGTAGGTTACACAATCACCAAGCGCCCTCTCTCTGGCGCGGACTGCTTAAGTACAGTCAGAGCCGCGTCAGAGGGGGGCGTGGTCAGCTCCGCATCGCGGAAGTGACGAACTCGGAAGTGTTACCGCATGACACTCCAGACTTGTTGCCCTGTGCAAAGTATTTTTGTTTGAATCTTTTCATTAGATATGTGGTTTTGGAGATTTTGTATTCTCGCAATTGGAATTGTAGGGAGAGAAGTTTGGTCAGTTTGTCCTGGGTAGGTTGTAGTTCATTGTCATGATTAAGACGCGATAACTCTGTGAGAATATTTAGATACTTTTCCATTCTTTTCTTTTTTTTGTAAATAGCGTGTTTGATCAAGACTTCTTGATGGACTAACCATACTGAGAAAAATTGAACATCTGTGGTAACATTAGTGTGAAAATACGCTATCAATTCTCACTTGATAGCCTCTGTGACTTCCAGATCTGACAGGAGTGACTCATTAATTTGCCATGTTCTAACACCTCTACTAGCATAGGTTTTGGAAATGGTGATAGTTTTTGGGGCATGGTCAGACCATGTGATTAAACCTATAGTCGTCTCCTGAGTATTGGGTAGTAGGGAGGAGTGTGTAAGAAATCTGTCGATCCTAGTATATTTGTTGTGGACCGTGGAATGGAAAGAGTAGTCCACTTCTGTTTGGGTGAAGCACCTTCCAGGGGTCTAAAAACCTGTGTGAATTAAGTACATAAGGATTTATTTGTGCATTTGTTCTACATTGTGTGATTGAGGGGACTGTCCCATCACGGGTGGAGGTGGTGTCTCTTTCACAGTCTAGTATGTTAGTATAAAGTTGGTGTCTCCCCCCACCACTACTTCCCCAAGCTTGTGTAGGTCTGTGAAGGCTAAATGTTTTGATAAAAAATGTGTTTGGTTGTCGTGGGGGCCATAGATGTTAAGTAAAGTGTAGGGAGCATTGTTGATATAAAATTGTAACAGTAGAAATTGTCCCTCTTTATCACTTTTTTCTGCACCTGGGAGAATGCTCGTTTTTCAAAATTGAAACACCTTTTTTTTTTTTTTGAAGCAAGAATGTTAGTTTATTGTGTAGAAGGAGGAGTTAAATTTGGAGCGTGCACCCCACATGAAGTGGATCTCTTGATAAAAAGTGACATGCGCTTGATTTTTCTTAGCTTCCAAAAGAGCCATCCTGCGCTTATGGGATGAATTAAGGCTTTTGGCACTTAGTGAAAAGATCTAAAGACTCATTGTTAAAGGTAGTAAGGTGCTGATGTGAGGTTTTCTCCATGATGCAGATACAGGCTGAATATTTATCCTTCCACCACCTATTTATACATTTCCCACAACACCATTCTTTCCACACCAATCTCCCTACTGGACCCTCAGACCTCCCCCGACGCGTACTGTAAGAGCCAAATCCTTTTAAAAATGTTTTGGGTAACCCTGTAAAGGTTGGCTGGCTACCACATATGAGATTCGCCTGAAAGTGAGGGATCAGCGACAGATGTGCAGTGTTGCCATACTGCCTCTTCTGCAGTTGACCCCCCCAATTTTGGTCTCCCAGGAGAAGTGCCTGCAGGAGAAGGCCTCTCCATGGCACCTTTAGCAATGGGTCGCACCCAATTGACCGTATGCACTCTGTGTTCTGATATAGTTGAAAAAAGAAATTAACATTAACATGAACATAAAGATAAAAACATTTAAAAAAAAACTATATACAATTTGCCGTTTAGATTTCCAAGTCATGAGCATATGACTTGGAAATGAACAGAAAGAACATTACAGCAAGAAACTGTACGTGGAGGTATGGAGGAGCCCTCGGTACAGGACAAAGAAAGGGCATCCTCTCGCGGCAAAATATCAGGACGTTACTGTGTCCCGGGTGGGTTTATAAATGTTAACAATTTATATCTAAATTCTAACAACAATTTAGATTATGATAAGAAGGCTATGGGTGTAGTTACTGTTTTTTTTTTTTTTTATTAGTTTTTTTTTTTTCATTTTTGTAGAAACAATCCTATGAATAAAAAGACATAAAAACTGGTAATCTAACCTAGCCCTTTATCATTAGTAGAGCTGTCATAAGGTAGGTACCGGAGTACATCTGGGTTCCACTGGTGTCAAAGACTGGAGATGAGAGTACCAAAGTTCACTTGGAGGCTGCAACTGTCTGCCAGTCCGGCTGGACTTTGCGAGGTGAGTGTTGCTTCAGGAGTTTATGCCCCTCTTCAGGAGAAGCAATGCTTTTGTCGACTCCATTCCTCATGACCAGGATCTTCACAGGGAAGCCCCATTTGAATGGAATCCCTTCTCGTCTCAAGGTTGAAGTGATTGGAGCAAAAGCCTTTCATTTCAGCATCGTGTGGGATGAGAGATCTGTGAAAAGCTTAATTTCAGCATTGCGTCCTGAAAGTGAACCTTGAGTTCTGGAGGCCCTCATGACCGTGTCTTTGGTTATGTAATAATGCACCTTTGTGATCACGTCTCTGGGGACGAAGGGATGCAGGTGTTTCCGCTTAGGCAGGCGGTGTGTTCCGTCAAGCCTGAGATCACCGTCTGTTGCTTCTGGAGTAAAGATTTTAATAATGCTGTGATGTAGAAACACAATCAACAAGTGAAAAACTGGCGCTTTTTCTTAAAGATAGTGATAACCTTAATATATAAAGCAGCACCTATAAGTGTATTAGCTCAAAACACTAAAATGCAATCAAAACAAAGAAATGAGTGCGCTAAATTATAGTGCAAGTTGTCTCACAGCATCAATTAAGTGAGAATAAAGTGCAAAAATATTTTTATCCACTTTAAAGTGTAATGTGCATATATTTTGATATATGAAAATGTAAAGAAGTGCAGAAAGGTAAAGATACCCCTTCAAA